GAATTGAATCCACTTTCTTCTCAATTCCAGTCTAGTGCACTAAGCCTTAGCAGATCTGGCTTGCCATGTGCTACAATGAGTGGAATGGACCTTGTCTTCAGAGTATGTACATGTGAACAACCTGGCTGTGGGAGGTCCGGGGTGGTTACTGTGCTGCTGGGGCACTCATAGGCAGATGATTTCTTTGTGGCATGGAAGTGTTGCCCAGATGTCATTATCAGCTGCCTTTTAGTGACATGTGGGTGGAGAGCCTCCTAAAGGTGTTGAGACACGTAGAGGAGGACACTGTTGGTGTACTGTTGGTACAATGGTAATTTCCAGAGAGAATGGGAAAATCACTGTTCTTCCCAGTGTACCCTGCAAGTTGAAGGGTAGAAAACTGGAGGATTTTAGTAGAACACAGGATCCTGCTAATGGATGTTATACTGCAGCTGAGGAACCCTTGCAACTCTCTTTCTCCCTTGCTCCTTTGTTGAGAGCCATTATATGCACCATTAGAAGATTTTTGACCTGTAAGCGCAGCAGATGCGGTGACAGAGGCCTCCATGCTGTGCTGAACCCATCCAGGCTCTCATTGATGTGTGTCTCAGGGCTGTTCTCTTCTGCTCTGTTGTGCAATAACACATCAGAGCCTTTTGATGCTCCTGGCAGAATCTGTGCTACATTCTGACTTGCCCAAGGGATGGTACTACTACTTCTTTTTTATTCTTAATCTACCTCTACAGTCCTGTTGCATTACACGTGATCCAAAGAGTGAATACTGAGACACTAAATTAAACAAAAACTTTGCATGAATCCCAGTTTGGCTGGGGCTGAATATACTTCTGTTTGAAACAAGGTTTACAGGGAGAGAAGCTAAGTCTGCTATAGGAATAGGAATAGGGGAAGGAGTGAGTGAAGGGCATCTATCCTTAGCTGGAATTACCTCCTTTCTGGTAGAAGAGGAGATTCTGGCTACCCACAGTCTTCTCACAGAGGATTGGCTTGAAGAAGGGCAGCAAATAACTGAGCAGAAGTACTGCTGCTCCTTGGCAGACAGACTGGCCACAAGAGCTGATAAGGGAAAGTGTCTGTCTTCAGAAGCAGCTGTGCAGTGGAGGAGCTAAGAGCCTCTTTCTCTGCAGTCACTCCAATTTAAAAAGCAAGGAGAGTATCTGTAAAAGCTGGTGATGTTGCTTTTCATCCTTTGGCTATAATAATCCTTTGGAGAGAAAATTGCCTAAAAACCAACCTGTATGCTTTACACCACTTTCACAGACAGCCAGTCACATGACTCTATGTCCACTCACCATGTTTTTCTACTTGGTTTTGAGGCTATAAATGTACATGTTCAAAGCTGTGTTCTCTTCTTATTGATTTAAGAAGCGTAGTCAGTGTGCTCAAAATGAGGAGCTTGCATGAAAATACTGGTGGCTGCTTGTTTAGTTTAGATACAGCCTCCTGCTTTTGTTGCCAAAGAAGTTCTAGTGACAGTGTTGTATTGTGAAATTATGGATGTTTCGAGACTCACCATAGTGGGTGTATTGGGTCCTGCCAAGAGATGCCAAAGACAGGTATCTATAAGGGGAAAAAAAAAGACTCTAGAGGCTATTGCAAAAATGGTGCTGTTTTCCAGTTCATGTTGAAATAGATGTCATGCCCAAACTATCCATCACTGTTAATCTTGGATTTGGGATAAGGTGGCTGAGCCCAAGCAAGGGTCACAGTGCTGTCAGCTGCTGTGCAGCTGAGAGACTGGATGGCTCCTCTGTTGTGGAAAAAAAAAAAAAGGATAATTTCCTGGCTGGTGTGAGAGGGTAGCCTGCAGATGGGCTATGAGAGGCAAACAGTTGATTGCAGCAGAGAAAAAGTGACACATCTGGTTTGGCTTCAGGTTGCTCAGGAATAGTAGCATCAGTGCCCTGTTGGAGCTCAAGGGCAGAGGGGTTTTCAGCCAGTTGGACATTTTCTCTAAAAGTTCATTTTGTGTGTGTAATTGTTGCTGAAATGCACTGGGCACATGAAGCTGGATCTAAAAGTTGTTGATCCTGAAAACTCCAGGGCATAGCTGTCCTCATTTGCAGTACAGAGTCTGCCTTAGAAGCAAACTACAGAGACACAGGAAAGAGATTTAAGGGTTCATGTTCCACAGTGATCCTGTTCCTTAGAGCCACTTCAGCACAGGCTGCTGCAGAATGTGCTGGTGTGGAAACAGATTGGTTGCTCTTTTAGTATTGATATAGTGCATATCCTAATTAGGAACACTGCAACTTTTTTAGGAATGTGTGGTTTTCAAACAGTTGGATAAATTTATCTGTATAGTGCACACAGTGTCTGTAAACCTGGTGGGTTAGTTCTTCTCACCAGGCTCTGAGTGCAGCACTGAGTTTCCTCTTCGTGTGAAGGCACAGCCCTCTCCTTCCTAGTTCTTAGGGAAGGACCAGCACAGATCAGCTGTGAGTAGTGGGCTGTGATGCAGTGCAGTTCAGGTATAAAGATTTATTTCAAGCTGTGGTAATCACTTGTCTTCTTTCTAACTGGATCAGGAAAATGAAACATAAGTGAATTCTTCACAACAGAAGAATTCTTCTCCTTTTATTGTTGTCGCCAATATAGAGCGGTGCAAGTACTTCAGAAATACTGCAATAGGCAGCTGTAGGGTGCTTTTCCTTGTCATTTGGTGAGTGCTTATGCTCTAGACAAATACACTTGTTCTTTTAAAAATAGTGTCTCCCTATTGGGGGCATCTTTAATGTTGACTGTGTTTGGATGTTCAGCGGCTTCTCCTCACACTGTGCAATCACCTGCTACAAAGGCCGTTTAGCAGGGCTCTGTTGGGAGAGCAAGAGGCAAAGAAACGAACAAAAGACTTCACTTGTTATAGGAAATCCAGAGCTCTGCTACTCTGCTTCCAGAAGCCCAAGGTGCTGTTTGTTAAACAGCACCACCTGGGCACAAGCTGTGGCCGTGTGGACTTGCGGGGCCGGGAGAGAGGTAAAGTCATGCTTGTAACTGTGAAATGGGGAGACAGCCGATGAGCTGCTGTGACAGAGATGCAGGGCAGCTGTCTGCAGTCCAAGGCACTGACTGCAGGAGACTCTACTTTTTTGCTGTGGAGGCTTGGTTACCTTGGCAACCTGTTTTTAGCTGGATCTCTGCTCCGGTGGAGAGCCCATCTGTACCTGCTACTTCTTTGTTTTGAAATAGCTATTTTACAGAAAAATAACTGACAGGAGTTATTTCCAGAGCTAGTGTATTGTGGAATCTGGTTTCTGCTTTTGGTCTCAGGAGTTTGTTTGATGATGGGGTGATAATGGTGTGGGGAGTTCTGTGGCTGGATTGAATAGGTGTTAATATATCTGCTTCGTGGTGGGCCGCTGTTGTGGAAGGGAGAGATGTTATTGCTGATGGTTAAATCATGGAAGAGCTCTGAAAGATAAATCACTTGCATATCTGGAGTTTGCAGAGAACTTTGTTCATTCTGGTTTGCAGTTCAGCATCAGCCACCCGCTGGTAGATTAAACTGAGGTGATTCTGTCTGTGATGAGTAAATAACCACCCTGGACCTGTAGGCTTCTGTTTTGGGGGCATGTATAAGCTTTTGATATTCGTGGTAAACTTCTAATATTGGAAAACAGAGGTTGCAGGACTGCATTCAGAATCTTACAATTTTGTTTGATTCAAGATCTGACCACTCTCTTCACATCTGTCTTTATACTGTAGGTTTTTTGGTTTTACCTTTTGTGAATACTTTCTAATCCTGAAGGGGGTGGGTATCTAAAATTTACCCTTATCTCATTCCAGTTCCCTGTGTGTGTTCTCCTTCTCTTACACAACCTGTACCTTTGGGCTGAAAGGAATGGTCTGTTCTGCATTTGCTGTGGAGTTCTCCCAAACCAGAACTGATTTTCTCACAAGTTACTGGGTAGTGTGTGACACTTGTGTAGTGGTGGGGGAAAAAACAGATTAACAAATTCTACTCATGCCTGTAAGAAATTGGAGTAATACCTGGTGTCGTTCTGCTAGATGCAGTTACCAATTAGTAGATAATAAAGAACTTCTTTAAAAAAGCGCGTATAGCACTCTATCTTGACTTTGCAGGACATCTAAAGTCAGATATTTCAAGTCTTGAAATCTGTTGACTTCAGAGCAGAGAGTACATTAAGAACCTGTTCTAGGCAGGCATCAGCTTTCAGTCCTGAGCAGCTATAATGCTGAAGAAGAGAAAATAGTTTTCTGTTCTAAAAATTTCAGCTAGAAAAAAGAAGATAAAGAACTTTGCATTTTATTCAAGCACATGGAATGCTATTGTTTATTGTAAAGTCAGCTTGATTAAAGCATTTTTAGTGAACCTTTTTGTTAATTATCACTCTTACTAACTGCTTTTGGGTGGTTACAGCAGGAGGTTTTGTTGTTTCATTATTTAAGATGAGCGTGAACCAGATCTGTAGTCTCTACCGCACAGCCCCAGATAACTGACACAGTAAAGTGCTACATTCTTCCTTTTACCAGTGCAGCAGCATTGACACAGAGCTACAGAAAAGCTGTGCTGTGGGGTTTTTGTTACTTTTTTTAAAAACTCTATGTATCAACAAGAGTGACAGTTTGGGGCTGACTGTGCATACATCATGGTGGCGATATATGAAACAGAAACGAGACAGTCAGATTCTCCAGCCTGAAAACTCACTCCAGGATCTAGCAGACAGAAAAATCTCCATGAACTAAGCTAACAAGAGACTTTGCTTGAGCCTGAGCGGATTTGAGTGGGAAGTCAGTGAAATAGAATAAAGGTGGGGTGGTAAAATACTGTCACTTACCTGTCCAGCAGAGTATTTTAGCCACAAAAACCACTACCAACCCCTACAAGTAAATTGATAATTTCCAATAAATTATGAGGATAATTTCTGCAGCTGGCGTTTAGGCTAGTTTACACCTGTTAATGTACATGCATCTGTATTTAAGTGACTTGTTGAAAATGGCTTTGTTTTTATATTATTTTAAAACTACTTATTTTCTCCTAGCCTTGATCAACTTGTTAAAGTTCCTCATGTCTAATGAGACTGTGTTGCTGGCCAAGCACAACATCTTCACCCTTGCTCTTATGGTGAGTACACAAAAATCCTCTTATTTTTAACAACTTAATAGTGAATGAATTTTAAGAAAGAATTATAATGCAGAAAGGATTCCAGAAAGGATTTCTGACCTATTAAGGAGATATGAGAAGATGGCCACAAAGCAGAGGGATATTATTGTGTTTGGTTTTGCTAGGTGTTTGGAAAGGGCAGTGCTTGGACTCACTGTAGGGTCTGCTCACTGAAATAAAGAAATCTGTGTGAGGAAGGGCCTAATTTAATTTTCCAGATTTGACAATACTGTTTCTTCTTCTGTGTCCCTCTGTATGCAAAATAGAAACATGTTTTTCTAGCCCCAGATAAAATAGTATTTAAGTGTCTTGTCTGTCTCTGTACTACAAGGAAAATAATAGATAAAGCAATGAAGTAGTGTAATACTGTCCACTGCAATTGTGAGCTATTTCTTTGAAGGTTTGGGACATAGTTTGTATTGTTTCTGTTGCAGAATAGATTTGGGCTAAATATTCTTGTAACTTCTTTTCACTTGTCTAGGTTGTGAACCTATTCAACATGTTCATCACTTACGGAGACACCTTCCTCCCCACTCCCAGCAGCTATGATGAGCTGTATTATGAAATCATTCGGATGCATCAGAATTTTGACAACCTTTATTCCATGGGTGAGTACCTCCTGACTTGTCAGGACTGCTGCTGACTGGAAGTGAGGGTGGTGGAGGAGGGACATTTGTGTCTGCTGTTTTCAGTCCGCCTGCTTCTGATGTGTACCTTACTGACTGGACATGTTTTGTGTAGTAGGATATGTTTAGTAAATTAAGAATTGAGGAACTGAGAGAAGGATAAACTAGTTAAAGGGATAAGGTTTTTTTTTAAGTCAGAAAAAAATAGAAGCAGACTCCTTGCCTCTGTATCAGTCACTTACTGTGGTTGGAGATATAAATTTGTTGTCAAAACAGAGTATGTGGTATGTCATGCATTTTCATGTAGTTTGCCTCTACTATATTCAACAATTTCCAGTCATGCTGCCAAACCAACCAATACAGAGAAACACTCAATGCAAATAAGAATTTGGAAAAGAATTTGAGAAACTTATAGCAAAAAGCTTGCAGTGCTAAGCACTCATTGCCAAAACAACCAAGGAAACAGCCCTCACAAACCTGCTTGCAGTGACAAGTGAATCAGTGGACTGAAGAATGTGCCCACTGGCAAAACAGGGAGAAACTGCCATCCTTCAAGGAGAGGCAGACATGCTGGAATGCTACCAAGTGACACCCAGCAGGGAAAAGACAAACAAAGAAGAGCAAGGGATGCATGGAGCTTAACCAGGCAGCATATACACAGGAGCCTGTGGCCCAGGGGAGCTGCAGCAGCACTGGTGTAGTGTCTGCATACTTGAATTTATGAAGAAAAGGAATATAGCTGTGTTCTTTGTTTGCTTTATTCTAGAAAGACCTTTTTTCCATTCACCCACTGCTTCCTTCTCAGTGTGATCACCCAGTGAAAAACAGGAGTCAATATAAGCAAAAAAGGAGAGTTAAAGGACAGACAATTGGCCACAACACTCTTCTGACATGGGGGAGAACCATGCTCACCCATATAAAAGTAGCTGAATACTCCCTGTAACTGCAAGCAGAAATGAACTGCTCTTTTATATAAATTTCCTACAGTTTTCGGCCATTACATAAGAGATCACTTGGCCGTTGTTATGCCCTCTGAGTGCATAAGATTTTTTGCTAACCCATTTCTTACTCCCAAGAATTGTAGCTATTAAGATTTTTTCAAACCCATCCCCTGTGGAAGCTGAAGGCAAGTGGATAGGAGAATAACTTATAGTTCCTCAGTTGGGTTGCAGAAGGCACACCTAACTTGTTGAAACAGTTTGTCACATGAATGTTTTCATCCTGCTACCTAGAGCAAACCCTTTTGAATTACTGTTGGAGATACCTGAATGGAAACCTTCTCTGAATACATTACTTCAGATATTCAAAAACAGTACCTACTGTTTGACAACATCATGTTATTTGGAGCTGACATCTTTTTTCTGCAGATGACGTGTAATGGTAGACTAGGAAGTGAGAAGGTAGCACTGTCTCCAGCTGGTGAAAGCCACTAGGTGTCCTGACAGCTTCCTTTTGCTTGTCAGCCTGTCTCTGAGACTACAGTGACCCTTCTGTCCCTTGACCTTGGGGCGTTTGTTAGCACAGATGAGAAAGCTACTCTGTCCTTTAGTTTTCTGTTAATGTGGTTGAAACTTTCTATTTTGGGAGTGGAGGTAGAATCTAATTGACTTGGGGTTTTTTTCTTGTTTTGAAACTGAACTTTATGCAGATCTGCAGGACTGGAAGCTTCTGTACTGCAATTATAGGCATGAGTATGCAGCCACTGTGCTTATGGATTCACTTGTAGCATCCATGTTTCTAGATGATCCTAAATTCCTAAATTCAGAGTTGTTCCTTCACTTCTGAGTTGATGGTGAACCATTCTTGTGGAATCTAATTTCCAGAAAACTCTGTATGTACAAATTCATAGAAAATTCCCTTTTATTCAGGGAATATGGAAATTAATCCGAACATCTGTTACAAGATCTGTTATTGTTTTGATGCATACCAAGAGATGTGCAGGTAACTACCACCGTACAAACGCTGCGTATTTTGACCTAAATAAATATTTTTTGTACTCTGGCAGAAAAGAATTGGATTCCCAGAAGTTCTTCCTGTTGCAGAATGTTTTCAGATCTGCTCTTAAGCCTGTCAGAGGCCATCTGTGCAACAGAACACCACCCTTGTTCCTACAGGGAGTGTTTTGTCCTAGGCTGGTGTTTAATTCCACTTTGCAGTTCTGGATAAATTGACATGTAAAGAATCCATCATTGCTGGAGAGAGTTCAATCTTCAGGATGTAGTCTAGCTCCAATGGAATCTTGCATAAATGGAAGCTGGAGGACAACAGAATGTGGAATAATAGTTATTCATACATGGGTCACTGCCCTGTTTCTGGGGGAAATAAACTGTCTATGTGGTGATGAAAGCAGGACCTGGGTTCTTCTGTCCCCTCTGCTTCCTGTCTCGGAGTTATTATTTTGTTCTGTTCACCTCTTCCATGTTCCTTATGTTTCTTAGATGGGCTTTGAAGGGAATATCTGCCCTGGATCACAGGTCGTCTTGAAGAAGACCTTTGTTTTGATGTGATTCCTGGACTTCCATCTCGCCAAAGCAGATTTTTTTTTTTTCCTGTTTTAAATTAGAAAATTGCCAATCCTGTGCCAGCACTGTTAACTGTCTTCTCCTTTCAGTTCTAAGGCTGTCTACCAATGCTGGTCAGTGGAAAGAGCCTGCAAGCAAGGTGACCCATGCATTAGTCAATATTAGGTAAGGAGTACAAGTTAGTAAACATTTTGAAGATTGTGTCCTGTGCAACTACATTTTTATCATGATTCTTTCACATTTATTTTAATAAGTTTGGGGTTGAATTTATTCTCTTTGTTGGGCTAAATTGTTCCTCTAAACGGGGTCTACTGGGATAAAGATAGTATCACCAGGGTTTGATTGTCCTCTCTAATAATTCTCTCGGCTCTTCTGTGGACTGAGCGCTTTCAATGCATGGCACAAACTGTAATGAATTAATCCTCACAGCATTCTTGTGAGAAATTTTACAGTAGGGAACAATGCTGTGCTGAAAGAGCAGTTGTGGACCTAATGGATTTCTGTAGCGTGATTCTATTGCAATTCCGTGAAGCTGTGGAGGGGACTATAAACCAGCTCTAACAAGCGGATTCGAGGCCTGTTAACATTTCAGGATTTTGTGTGTTTAAAAGTGATTATTTAAGGACATTTCAGTGTTCTCTTAAACCTCTTTGTCCTGTTCAAGGGCAGAAGTTATGCTTTACTTGTAAGGCTAAAGAGTGTAAATCTAGATGTGTACTCTTTCACAATGGCAATAATTTATTTTCCTGGCACCTGAAGAAGCTAGTACTGACCAAGCTGAGTATTGGGCAAGAGGATCATGGATCTGATTGACTGGAAAATGAAAGAATGTTGAGAGAGAGTATTTACTGCTTAACTCTGGCTTGTAAACAAATCATAAAAGATGTAAGTATTTATACTGAAAAAATATCTGTCCATGGCTTCCCTGGTCATCCCAGACACTTGGTGTCTGCAACACCAAGCAGCTCAGTACTGTTGCATTGCTAGTGCTTGTCATTTCCCTCACTACAAAAGACATTGTGTAGGACATCTTACACGTTTGTAAATCACCTTAAAGGTTCCCTTAGTAAGCCTGTAAGCTTGGTAACATCACGTATGATTCCAGATTTATTTTAGTCCTATCCTTGTTTTTGTTTGTTTGGTTTTTTTTTTAAACAGATGTAAATGAACTCTTGTGGGTAGATAATGCACTTGAAGTGAAGCAGCAGAACAGGTAGCTGTTGGCAAATTAATGTCACTTAATGTGACACAAAATGTCTGCCCTGGGAATTCTCTGTATACCCACGGAGAGAAGTCTAAACTGGGAAGAGATTAAAAAAACAAGTGATCACAGAGGGTTTGTGCTCCCCCCTGGTTTGTGAAACTAAGATTTTGTGTGGTCTTATTTCCTTTTGGCTTAACAACTGCTTTTATGAAGATCAGCTTGCAACTGAGATAAGAAACAACCAAAAAATTGTCACTGTGATACCCCTCCCTGGACAGCCTGTATCAGACATGTCCAGATTACAGTTTTGTCTGGAACCAGTGAAGTCTCTAACGTTTCTCTGATGGACTTTTGGTAGATTTCCCTTGCTCCACCCAACTGCTCATCTGTACTGAAATTTCGTGAATGACTGCTTTTCATTCACTGAAATTTGAAAGGTCTAAATTAGAGATGATTCAAGGCCTAGGGAAGGATTAGAATTCAGAGAAGTCGGTCTGTTTGATTTATCCCATTTCCTTGCTCTCAAAAAAAAAGAAAAGGAGGGGGTGGGGGAGAATTTTGTCTTCTGATTTGTTTTCTTCTGATGGTAAAAATACTGCATTTGATGGGTTCTTTAACTAAATAGATTTCAGAGCAGCCAGAAAAATCCAAAGGTACCATGCTTTTGTGAAGGTGATTGACAGTGTGATGTTTCAAAGGGACTAGAACCTGGTTTAGCTCCTTGTTATCTGGATTTTCTGTTTGTTCATGCCCCTTTGTTTCCCCTTGGAGTGGTCTTAGCACACTGTGTCTTATTTGGATGCCTTTGCCTTGAAGAGAATGAATTTAGAGAAATCCACTTCACATTGGATTTTTCCCTCACCTTGCTCCGTTGTTCTGGAAAGTTTTTATGAGCAATGAATACCTTCTTCTTGCTGTAACTCTACAGTGCAAAGTCATGCTTTGGTTTATATCTCCATCTCATTATACAAGCTATTTAAAAAGAAATAAACCTTGTCATTTCCTTATCCTACGGCTTTTAGTAGGTTTTATAAATGTAAAAGCATCTGCCTATGCATGCATGTGGTGGGCTTTAACAAGTGCCTTAAATCCTAGTGTACAATTTTATGTGTGTTTCTGCCAGGAGAGGAGTGGTGAGTGGCTGCAATGCATTTGTGTTACAGGAGTAACTCTTGAGGAGCCACATAAAACAGTCCTGCTTGCACCCACAGTGCTGAGCTGGTGAGCTCGGCTGATTAATTGCTGTAATAGAGAGTCAGGATGAGTAATACTTAGGGAATCTTTAACATGTTCTTGTTTAAACTCAGCCACAGAGAGAGATCTCTCTTTGTGTATCCTATTATGGTATGAGCACTACTTTTGACTTGGACCTTATTCTTCACTAGGCAGTCTGATTGAGTTTTGTTGTTGCTGATTATTTGATTTTTCTTGTCCTTATGTTCTTTGATTTCTCCAGTGAAAAGAGCAGTCACGAATATTCTTTTTTAGTATTGAGAGATGAGGAGGCTATTCCTGCCTTCTCTTTTTTATAGATAATTCATAATTTCTGTCCAACCTAAAGAAAATGAAATTTGAAGAAGACAGAATAATAATAGCCTTATCTATCTGAAAATCTTACATACCACACTGGAATGAGTGATTTCAATTGCTGTCCTATCTCATAATAGTCATTATAACTTCGGTCTGTGGATTTGTCTCTGGAGTTTTCATAGATAATTGAGATGTGATAAACTGCAACATGTAGCTGCAGCACTGGTGGGGTTGAAATAGGAAGGTGCAGCAGTTGATGGTTTGAAAACTCACCTTCTCACCTATGAGGAAATAAACACATTTTGAGACAAGTTATTTTTTATTAAGCTAATGAGCCTCTTCAAGATAACATTGTGCAGGTTTGCATTTAATGAGAATTTTATTAACGCAAGGTTCAAAGGGGCATCTCGTGATTGTCTATTCAGTGAGAAGGGTAGCAGCTGAATCCCTGTGTTCTCTTAATAGACTTTCTCCTGATCAGGATTTTTCCAAGGTGAATAAATAGATTAACTCAATGATTACTTGACTGAATTTCTTCATTGTCTGAAATTCAATCCCATCATAATTTTTAAAGTAATATTATTTTTCTCACTGAAACATTTTTAATAAGCAGAGAGTAAGTTTGTAGTATGGAACTAGATAGGGTTATTTTTTTTCTAAGGTGTTTTATGTGCTGTTTTAGCATATGCTGCAATCCTTGCTTGAGTGTTTCATTCACTCTTCCATCTTGCAGCTACTTCTATTCCACTTGAGACACCGTGTGATGCTCTTTCTTTGAACAGGAGGTGCTGCTTCTCCCAGGGCTGCTTTTGGGGTTGTAAAGGAGAGACTGGGGATTTGGGAGGAGCACTTAAAACATCACATGGGTATGTATAAAATGGTTATGCTTGCTGCCAGTCTAGGCAGGAGCATTCTGAAGGAGCCCTTGCAATTTTACCTAGGTGAAAGAAAGCCAAATCAGGCTGTGGTTGTTTCCTGTAGGACAACAGACATCCTGGCCCTGAAGCTATGGCTCATGATAAATTACCAGCACTCCACAGAACTGCCTTTATTGAAAACCTTGACAGGGAAGGAGGCTCCATTGCAGATATTTGTTAGAAAGTGAGCAGCTGCAGGCAGTCCATGTAGTACCTTCAGCATTGTTCCACCAAACTGCAAGGAATTTAGCATCTATTTATGGGGAGAGAAGAACCAAATGCTGCTAACTTAGTCATGTTGCAATGGATGGCTCTAGCATTTATGCAGGATGTGTGAATGGGGACCTGCTGGTAGAGAAGGGCTTCAGTATGGAGTGATGACCTGTGGATTACAGTGAGCTGAAACTGTATAAGATATGTATTTATATATATACTCACACACACACTTTCTTCCTTCCCTCTTTGTATGGGTGTAATGGACACACACATTTCTTGCCAATATGAGTAAGAGAGTGAAAAAGGGAGGGCAAGCTTAAAGCCTGTTTATGGAAAGAAATGGTCAAGAAAATATATGTGCATATATATAAAATATGGATATCTATGTGTACATTATAGATATATGCACATACATGAATGTGTATATCCATATATGTATATATGGATATCTTTGTATATATAAAAACATATACTGACATACTCACATGTATACACTTACAAATATATATATATTTATATGTAGAACACACACAAAAACATGCTGCCTTTGGCAATGCGCTAATCTGAAGCCGTAATCTCAAAGTTGAAAATACCAAGCACCTGCTTGTTTACATATTCTCCAAGATGAACCACAAGTATGGGCTAAGGATGCTCAGGTGTTGCTCCTTCCAGCAGCACGACTGCACTGGGTGTGTACTGTGATCCCCCGGGACTTGGGGGACCGTGTGGAAGTGCTGGTTTGGGCCAGCCAGTGCTGAGCAGCAGAGGGTGCTCAGGCATGCAGGTTAGCCCAGAGTGATCTGGAGTTCATTCCCTGGGATTCTTAAACCCACTTGTGAGGGCTGCCACTGGTGGAATAACAACTCCATTGAATTGTTCATTGAGGTGTGCTTAATGATAATGACCTCTGACATGCTGTCACTGCTAATCAGCCTGATTGAGCTCAGATCACAGAGTAGCACAAGACAGTCAACAATTACGTTTCTTAATAAGAAGAAAGCAACAAAACCCAAAGAAAAAGGCAGAAATGTATTTCATTGGTACTTTTAAAGTCTAAAATAAATTTGGTAAGATAAGGATCAAATTGTTGCTAAAATGCTGTAAGAAAACTTCTGAGCTTTATGTCTCCAAGCTATTTGAAGAATTAGTTCATTGCAGTCTTTGAATGGTAGGCTGAAAAAATGATAATACTGAAAAACTGAAAGTGGATTCTAGATGAGGATTCTGGATTTGTTCTTTTTTAGTGATCTGTGATCAATCCTCATTGCACGAGCAAAACTAATAGACTCTTCTTGTCA